CCCTCTTTACTGAGTTACACATCTCACACCACTTTTCCCTACCTACAGTTTCTATTCTCTGAATGCTCGCATTCCTTCAGCTATTTATTATGAATATCTATCGTAATTATGAGTGGTTTCTTACTCAGCATGTTTTATAACAACATGTTAACAATAATACGAGGCCTGGGTTGCCCTGTAATGATCAAGCTTGTTAGCTGCAGGCATTGGGTTCACTCACTAAACGTCTCCAGAATTTGGCACAGCTGACACTAACTGTCCAGGGAAAGCCTAGAAGGAGACATTTGATAAAGAAAGCTGAACACAGCTAAGACTCAGACAGGAGTACAAGAGGTAATATTGGAATGCAAAACAGAGTATAAGATTATCATTTTAACCTACCTCATTTATAAATAAATATGGGTGCAAATTAGGTTTCAGAAGCAATAAAAAATGAAAAATGAAGGGATGGACCCTTTTGTCCAGCCACCTTTTCCCGCTCCCTGATAGAGCACTGAACAAGAATTCAATGAAACAATTATGCGAATAGAGAACCCCAGCAGTCAAAAGAGAGAGTCTGAGCAGAGAGGAAGAGCTCACTCCAGAATGTACCTGGGGTTCTAGCCTCCAGAGTGCTCAGCAGATCCCACGTGGCCAGAGGACATCTGCGGTTGCTTGGGTTTTTTTAACCAATTCTTCTGCTAAGACGCCTTGTATAAAACATGTGCCATCGGGCTTCAGGGAGAGATTATGTTGTGCAATAGGCAGTAAAGTCAATTCAAGGATACTTTTCATTCGTGTGCTACTCAGAAACAGTTTCTGAACTGCCAGTGACTGAACATCTGGCCAAAAGTCCAAATTAAACGTTGTTAAAAAGACACACAAATATAAGTTTGTAATGAAAGGGAAAGAAAAATGTGGTTCATCAATCCTTTATGGGAGAAAGTGAATGCTGTAATAGGGCTTAAGCAATATTTACTGCCCCCAGTAGCACTTAACAGCAGCATAATATCTGCCGTGTAAATAGGTCAAATGAGAGCAAGGCTATTTAGTTTGACAAAACTGAAGGATCAGGCCCTTACATTTAGGCACCCAAACACATCTCCAAAAAATAACTCCACTTACAGTAGTTAAATTGCAGCCATTCCTGCAGAGAAGACAGTTCATAAATAACGACGCAGCTCTGTAGGAGCAACTGATAAGAGATGCCTACAAAGCTATCTGATGGTCAAGTCTTTGAAGAATTAAATTTTTACACAGAGAGAAGAGTAGCTGTTTCAATGAATACCCTCCCACACTTCTCAACATCTTCTCTTCAAATATGTCAAAGCAATGCCTGGAATAGTTCTTCGGTAGAGAGACTGGACTCTGAATCCTGTGATGAATAACCTCATTAATATTGTGACATAGTTTGCTAGGGTTTTCTTTTTGCCTTTTTAATCTTATTTTGGACCATGCTAAATGATTTCAGATGCACTATGTCCCTGTAATATGCTTTAATATAATCACACATAGATTGAACATATTAACTGTATAAATGGTAAATATGGGAAGAAACAAACCGTAATGGGAATTGCATTTCAAAAGAGAAATTGTTCTTAAAAAACATAAAAAGAAAAAAAAAATTTGAGTTTATGACCACATCATGAATAACCTGATGAAAGAGAAAAGTTATTAATCAAAAATCAAGTTTGTAGGCAGGCTTCAAAACTAACATTTAAAGGGGAAGATTTTGGAAAGAAGCAGGTTATGCATTAAAATTTCTTCAGATTGACTCCGTACAACTGTCTGAAATAATCCAAACAGTTTAGTAGCAGTAATCCCACAAGACACCATCCAAATGCCACGCAGGGAAACATACTAGGTCTATCTAGGACTAACTAGATTTAACTATACATCCTGAAGTGCTTCAGTATTCTCTCTCCAGATGAGGCAATACTGACAACGCTGATGGCCCAAACCACAGGGTACTCATTGCTAATGGAAGACTGCAAGTTCTAAATTGCCTCTTTTCCACTTACAAAAACGTGAGAGATGGACACAGAAAGTCACATATGAACAATAACAGAGAGACAAATGTAGTCCTCTGAAGTCAACTAAAATGACCAAGACAAGGAAACTTTATAAAGCTTTTTCTCCAGTTGAAGCAGAAACTCAGCTGGGTGTATTATATGTGCAAGAAATAAGGGCATGAGCAAAATTTTGACAAGTGGGTTGATGGAATAAGATTGGATTTCCACAAAGCATTCAGAACAGATGAGGTTTTGGATGAGCTTGCAGAACAGCCTGATCTTTAAAAGCCTTGTCAGAATGCCAAACTAGGATGATCACCCACTGAAAAACAACTTTCCAGGATATGGTACTAAAGACACTGAGAACAAAATCATTCCAAAAAGTTTTCCATTAATTTAGCCGGAACAAAGTTAATAATCCATGACGTAAATGTTTATTTCTTTACTAGCTTGTTAAAAACGCAAAATTGTCCCCTATAAAAATCTTATGGCTAGAGGCTGGCAGAGATTAGCTTATTCTTCTTCAAAGTCATTAAATAAATAATTAACCAACAATAGCTGGTAAGTTACCTTGACAGCAAAGAATTATTAATATGAGATTGCCCAAGGGAGAGTGAGCCAGGGATTTCCAAACTGTGGTGTTAATCAAACTACTTCAAAGCAACGCGAGGACTCGGTGCTGACAGGCGGTCACTGCCTCTGGTGGATTCACGCAGCCTGACATGGAGCTGGGAGCTACTGCAGCCTCTGGCAACAGGGGTAATTTAGTGATGTGCGGCTGTACAGCAAAAGGTCAGAACTATTTTTTAAGCAAGAAAAAGGAAACAGGAGATTGAAAGTACCTGAATTGCAGGACCATTAATAACATGTCAGTCATACTTGGAAATTAGTACGAGCTGGATTGCCCACGAGATGTTACGTAAGGTGTTTTGGCAAAGCCCATGAAAAAATGCAGCTATGGAACGCTTCAGATATAACTGCATATGCTAAAGGCATCCTATATTCAATCTGTAGAAACTTAAAGATAAAACAAGATATACTGGGGCAGCTAATTTGAGAGATCTCACGTGTGCCCTTCATCAAAGTGAATCAACTTCCAAAAGGCGTACTTTGTACCTCCACATTTCTTTATACCTCTTTATTGTTTCTAAGTTCGTAGAGAAGGAGCTAATGAGCAAAGCATAACATTACTGCTCCATTCTCTTAAATACAGTTGCCACAGTGGTATAATATTTCTGGTAGAAACTGAGAAAGTTTTGCTTCTCAAAACCCACATTTGGAAATCAGCAAGAAGTGGGTCCTTCCTAAAGGGTCTTGTCACTGAAATTTAGTAATAGGGCATGCGGCTGTTCGTGCCAGCAGACCAGTTACTGTTTCAGCAAATAGGAACTTGCTCAGAGAGGTCTGTCAGAGCCCTTCAGATGAGTCCGAGATAGATTATGCATAAACCAGCATAGACAGCAATACTCCAAATCCTGCTGTAATGTAAGACTGTTCCCCAATGAGTGCTTTGTTTGTGCAGGATAGACAATTTTTTCAGCATACTGGAAATTGCCTTGATCCTCTGAAATGAGTCACCTTTGTTCTCATTACAGCATACCTCAGAGTAACTAATAAAACTCAAAAGTGTCTTTTCTTTCTAAGCCAAGATGGCTTTCCTCCATGCACAAAGAACAGATCACTGCTCAGAGCTACAGTGCATGCGATTGGCATTTCACAAACTTTGCCACCACTGTGACAGAACCTGAGTAGGCAGAGGTTCTCTTCAAAGAGGAAACATCCATTTCTGTCACTCAGAGGATTTCAGTCTCTGCAGCTACAACTTTTTAGTAGGACACAAATAAGTAAAACAAACATCTCCATCCATGTTTTTGGGAAAATCCTGACCTAGCCACTTCTCTTACTGAGAGTCTCCCTACCTCTCCTGGTTTCCCACAAGCCTCACACCTTGCTCTTTGGAAGCTCTTCCAAGCCAGCACATGAGTTCCCTCTGGAAGGACCCCTCAGCCCACACCACCGTCCTGACCAGGCTGCAGCAGCCCTGGCTGCCAACAGCCCCCTCCCCACAGCCTAACCAAGCCCTGTCTGGACCCACTCAAACACACAATACCCATGCTTGCCAACTCACAGGCTCAACCACTGTGTTCTCACTCAGTCCATCTCAGGCTAAGACTAACTTTGCAATAAAAAGGTTCTAAGCAAGCTTATATTCTCAGTCTCACTAAAGTTCTCGGTATTATCCAACAGCTTCAATAATGACACAAATCAGATTCTTAACTGTGCTAAAGTAAACCAGAAATACATGGATTCCCATTAAAAGTCCAAGACCTGTGTTTCTAAATTATTGCACTACCCTTGGAAATAGCACCTAAAATTATATTTAAATTACTTGAATAAAAATTCTGATATCTGGGATAAATCACCAAGAAATCTTGAGATGTTGCTTACACTACAGTCAAATCTGTTACCAAAATCTGGAACTTGAACTAGTAGTGCATACTTCACATGCTTCGACAATTATCAGCTGTTAGAGACTTCTGAGACTATTGAAATGGGACAGATTGAATACATCAGCTGGATTCAGTCCATTTAACTAAATATGAAATGCTCCACAGCCCAGTACCTATCAGAGTTCTGTTATGCTTCCAGATTAACTCTTTTGCAACAGATGTCTAATAGGCATAGATATAATAAGCAAGCAGTAACACCACAAGACTATGACAGCAAAACTTTTTCTTTTTTTCAGATAGAGAAATATTCTTAAGAGAATGAAATATGCAAAATCAGCTCTGAGTTAGTGCAAGCACTTGCTGGTATTTCATGGACATAACATCACATCTAAAGCACTCAGTCCTGGGAAATAAAATAAGTCAGGAAAAGTTGACCAAACGTTACATGCTTAGATTCATCTGTACTCATTTCACACTTCCTCTGAGGTAATACAGTCACAGAAAACTATCTCACAACAAATTGCTAAGATGGACTTTGCTGCTGCGCACAGCTACTGACCTGCAGCATCTGAAGATAGCCTTCTTGTGGATCACACAGCAGTGATGATATTCGGTGATTGTTCCTCATGCATCTCTGATTGTTGTCCCTTGAGAGGGGGAAAATTTGCCGGATAACTGTCATCCTCCCCAGAGCACTATGTACCAACTCTAATATTTCATTATCAGTGATTTCCTGTGAATGAAGACACAGTCTTTTAAAAAACATATATTTGTCCAGATATTTTATATATTCCTTTCATTGTTGGATAAATGTTTTCAAAAAGACAATAGAAGAAAAAAGTTAGACACACATGCTTAGTGTAGGTCAAATGTTCTTATTTTGTGTTTAATAACAGCAATGGTGGTTTTTTTTACATATGATCTGAAACAAAAGAAAACAGCTTAACACAGTATGATCTATCTTGGTAATTCTAACATACTGAAGAAGCAGTTCTTCATAGAAAAGCACCAAAATGGTCTCAATAGGTTTCTAAGTAAAAAACAGGAGCCTTCAAAGCAAATTTATATAGAAAGAGTTTTGGTTTAACAAAACAGAACCTCACTACAGCCTCAGAACAAAACAACAAATGGAAAACATAATCATCTTTAGGAAATATGGCCCTTACACCTGAGAACAACGTTTCCAGAAAGTCCTTTTCCCATAAGAACAGTAGATCATTTCTGCAGACTAATCCTAATAATGACTCAAAGTCTTTTGAGGTTATGTGTATTAGGAAATAAAAAATAGGAGAAACTTCACGGAAGGGACTGACACATTTAGGAATGCAAGTTTCTGCACACAGAATAATTTGGGATAAGATATAAGAAGATCTCAAGGGCAGGCTACTCTTCTTTCCAGGCTTTGCATGGTCTAAAGCTTCTTTACAGACCTTCCCATTTCCCAGCCTCCTAATCCTTCCTGGGACAGAGCCTACATCTACTGCCCTTACATTGCAACTGAAGCCAACTCAACTACGTGCTTTACATATTTTGTATTTCAAAAAGCCACAAACACAAACCCTCTCTTTTTTTTTTTTTACCTCAGGATAAATACTTTGAAAATCATGGGCTTAGCAGATCCTGAAATCATAACAGCGGTACAGCTTGTGATGGTTATTTCCTGCCAGGACTCCACTGTGAGGAAGGACAGGCAGTGGCACCGCTAGTGCCTCCTCCACAGGGAGCAGCTTTACATCCCAGCTCCTTACCACTGCCGCCAGAAACATCTGCAAGTCACATCAGCCCATCTCCAGCACGCGTTGGCTGCACAGCTGGGTCAACCCATTGCCCAGCCTGCACAGGGTTGCTCTGAGCCCCTTGCAGGGTAGGGGGCTGCACGTAATTCATGTTGCTATACTTACTCCGTCGACAAGGCTCACACCTTGAGATTTGTCATCAGCAGAAGAGAACCTGGCCCCATACCTTTAACATTCAAGAAAAAAAATATTTTGTTTTCTTGCCATTTTCTCTGTCAAGCTGTGAGTGAAATGACCATGGGGTTATTATAATTACTTGTTACGGTTGACTAGTACTGTAGCTTTGGCTCAATTTAGTTGTTCTTTGCCGATTTCCCATCATTTTTTTAGGAACATGAATTTTTAACTTTGCAGAAGGTGAAATTCATTGCATTAACAACAGACCAACTAGTGTGGTGTGAAAACAGAAAATAAATATATACTTATAGAAGCCAAAGACTTTGAGGCTTAATAGAAAACGCTGGGCAGCACCTGCAGCCTTGCAGGGAGACACCAAAGGAGAACCACAAGTTCTACAGATCCCTCCAGACTGCTGCCTTGGATTTCTCTGCTGTGGGGCTGAGGGGTGTTAAAGCCACACAGTGCGTCTAAGCTGCCATCTGAGGGGCAGACAATTTTATGGGCTAGCTTTAACTCATTATCTCCTAGACTGCATCCCTTGGCAGGCAAACTGAGTCTGAGTGGTTGGAAACAGGAGGGGAAAAAAAAAAAAATCACAAATCATCCAAACCTTTAGTTCACCTCACACTACACACATTTTGTGTCCTCTCCAAGTGACGCACAGCCTTGCAAAGATGTCTCATTATCTATATCAAAACGCCTGACCTGTACATAGCAGACCAGAACTGCTTCCTCCATGGGATTTCCAGAAGTACAGCAGTGGAGGAAATCAATTATGTCAGACACATTAACCCAGGTTCGTCCCACTTAGCCATAGGCACAAACCGAGTCCTGAATGTAAAAGCCTAGTTACTGTACAGCCAAAGAAGAAAACCAGGAACCTCTGGAAGGAAACTGAGAACGAAAATTGGGCTAAATCTGAATCTCAAAGTGCCACCTTGGTCTGTGTGGACAGCTGACAGCAGCTAAAGCCTTCAATGCAAAGCTCCCATATCTTTTTTTAGCTGATGGACATTCATACCAGGAAATGATCCATTCCTTTTAGAAACTGACTTCCTTCTTAGAAATGTGAAAGCACAGGAAAAAAAAGTTGTTGTTGGAAGAGCTGAGAACAAAAGCTCTGCCACGTTTTTGAGCTGGTGCTGTACAAGCTAAAGGTAACTGCGTGCCTTTCCCTGCAGCTG